GATTTAAACATTGCCGTAACTAGCCCGTCTCATTCTACTTCCTAACTAGATCTAATACTTTTTGTTACGCTCATAACGTGAAACACTTATTTTTTTAATTATTACTGCAAGAAAAAAATGTCTACAATCGTTTATTTTCTTTCAATAACATTGCTCTACTTTGTCTATAGGCACAGCTGTGGTAATTGTTAACCCTTAAATTCGCCTTGTTGCATATCTGCAACGAACCGAAAATTAAAATAATTTGACAAGTTAATGTACACGTTTCTGAACGTAATCTGCCATAGATTATAGAAAAAGTTATGAACGTTTTGACATTTAACGTGACGGTTCATTTTCAAAAATTTAAACTTCATAATTTTTTAATTTAAAAATCGCGGGCGCGCGAATTTGTAAAAAGTAATTTGTGTGTAGTGTTATGTCGTTTTTTATGCGAATTTCGAAGGTAAGTGTCTTTTGTTTTTTTATATTTCACTAATATAACTAATCAAGAAGACCAGAAAATAATAATTTTCCATATATTCAAAAGTTTGATAAGTTTTTTTTCAAACAAACTGTTTGTGTCGTATGTGCAACATTGCGCATTTACGTTCAAACAAATTTGAATTTTTACTTGATCAGTAGTGATGTATTTAGAAAAATTTACCTAATTTTGTTTGCCTTTTTACAGCATGCCGAGATTGCTGAATAACTGAGACATCGAAGAATATCTGCGAACTCTGGATCTGTCCGAGGATGACTTGGAATTATCAGAAGAAGAAGAGCAAGATGAAGAAGTTTACTATGAGAATAATCGCCAGTTATTAGCGGATTTAGAATATTGTGATGAAGATTTGGGACCAACTGGTAATACCGTTGTGCGTCTAATTCGGATTGTTCCAAGACGTGTCAACCACATTATTTATTTCGACAACTATTACACATCGGTGCCATTGCTCACTTACTTTGCAAAAGAAGGAATATATTGCTTAGGAAGTGTACAGGTGAATCGCATACCTAATAACAAGCTTCCGGATAAGAAAACTCTGATGAAACGAACAGTACCAAGAGGATACTATGAGGAACAGGTTGCCAATGTAGATGGTATCGACATTAGCGCTGTTTTATGGAAAGACAACAAGCCTGTGACTTTGATGTCAACCTACACTGGAGCCTTGCCTGTGACTACAATTATGAGGTATGATAAAACGACGAAACAGCGGATTCCAATATATTGCCCCAATGTGATAAAGGACTACAACACCCACATGGGAGGAGTGGATCTCCTTGATAGTTTTATCGGAAGGTACCATGTTACTCGCAAAGCAGAACGTGGACAAATCGCTTGTTTTTCCATCTTCCGGACGTTACAGTCGTAAATTCGTGGCTATTGTACAAGAAATCTCTGAAACTGAACAAATCTTCCATAAAACCATTGAATCTGTGCAATTACAGATTTGAGCTGGCCCATACCTTATGCAATCTTGGCCAAAAAGGAAATGGTACCAAAAGGGGTCGCCCAAGCAGTTCATCTTTAGAAGCTGAATTTCAACTAAAAAAGAAGTGTGGACCAGCTCAAACTATGCCTCCGGAAGATATCCGAGAAGACACAATATATCACTGACAAAAATTGGGGGATCGGGCCAGATGTAAATACCCCAATTGTAAGGGATATACATTCAGTTATTGTGAAAAATGTAGAGTAAGCTTATGTTACAACAGACAATAATTGTTTTTATAAATTTCACCGTGATTAAAAAAGAACTTTGAATTTGTATCTATTTTGAGTTTGTTATTGATGACCTCATTCTTTCCATACATAGCATAATTCGATGACTGCGCACTGTTGCACATATGCAACATACACTTTTTTGTATTTTTAGTAGCTTTATATCAATACTATATATTTTTAACCATTTTTCCTTTGCTCTATAGATCCTAATATGATTAGAATAATATATTTATAAACGATTACAAAATTCGCGCATTTAAGGGTTAAGCGTGGTAACAAAAAAGTTTTTATTATAAAAAGACTTTACTGTGTTACTGAAGAAATTAAATAAAATCTCAATGGATTTTGTTATCTAACTTTCGTTAATCTACATTAATCTTCTTCTACCTGGCAAGTAACCACCTTTAGCCAGGGTCTGCCTTACATGTTATGAATAGTTTTGGCTAATTGTTTTTACAACCGGCCGCCTGCCTCACATCAACCCTCTTTGGGAATGTATTAATCAGTGATGTCTAAATACTCTTAGAAATAACATATGACTCGGAAAAATCACATTGTACTTGTCAGGATTGAACCCACTCCCTCACGCATGAGAGGCGGGCCTTTTAACCACTGACACTGACTGAGGACACCACTGACTTATAAACATTAATAGGGTACTAAATAACTAAAAATTTGCACAATTTTTGTTGAAAAAATAAAATAAATACTATCACAGGCAGATTTTCTGCATAAGTTTATAAGGACACTATTTTTAAAAAATAAAAGCCTACATAACAATAGTACAGTTGAACACCAATATTTAATAGTATGAAACATTAAAGAAATCTTTTTCAAACTTCTATTTAAATTTGTCTCTAGATAATATATATCTATGCGAGATTCTGAATGTAATATATGTAGAATTTAAAAACTATACGAATTAGAACATTCTAGAATATTATAGTCAGTGGGGGCCTAGTGGTTAAGATGTCCGCCTCTCGTAAGGGAGGGCGCGGGTTCGATCCTGGCCCTGGCAAGTACCAATATGATTTTTCCGAGTCATATGTAGTTTCTGAGAGTATTTAGACATCACTGACATACGGTGAAGGAAAACATCGTGAGGAAACCTGGATTAATAGTTTCATAATTATAAGTTTGAAATCACCAACCCGTCTTGAACAAGCGTGGTAATTAATACTCTAATCTTCTCCATGTGAGAAGAGGCCTTTGCTCAGCAGTGGGCCCTGATAGGCTGATGATGATGATGAAGAATATTATTATCATTATATTCTTGTATCGATGTTTTATTACTGGGTAGGTTAGCACTAAATATATAAATACATATATACCCGTCATTTTATAGACTCAAGTGCCTATTTTTGACCATACCATAATAGTTAATACCATTACTTTCTTGTATACTACATACCTTAAAATAATTTAAAATAAACAAAGAAAAAATAAATATTTTATTAATGTAACACAAAAAGGTTTATTAATTTTTCAATAAAAATATATTTATGAATTCAAATTTATCAGAACATTTAAGTATTTAATGAATAGTTTGATCTCATTTGTCTTATGAAATATAATAAGTAGAACATATAAATAAAATAATTATGTAACTTAAAGATCATTATGAATTTTAAATCAAATATGATTAAACAGAACATTCTTCGAAATATATGATTTCATTGTATATTAAAATTGTATATAAAAATAATAAAAGTACATTAAAACAATGACCAGCTTCATAATTAAAAATACTTGTGCTATATAAAAATAATATAAAAAATAAAGACATTTTTCTTAACATAAACTAACAACTAATAAATTATGCACATTTTAAGATTTTGTTCCTCTTAATCGAACAGACTTCATGTTAACTTTTAAACACTTTTTACTTTTATCACTGAGGTTAAAATTCTCGGAACATTCGGATCGATCAAGATTTTTTTTCTCCATCATGCGTTTTGATATGTCGATGTAGTTTTATTTTATCAGAAAAAATGGCGTCGCATTTTTTGCTTTTGTTTTCGTTATGTTGATTTTCGTTGTGCCGTTTTAGTGAGAAGCGTGAAAAGAAATCCTTTTCGCAATAACAACATCTGTACGGCTTAACGCCTACGTGGGAACGCATATGCGCGGTAAATACATGCCGCTCGTTGAAAACTGTACCGCAAATTTTACAAACGTATTTCCCGCCGAATTTCTTGACATTCTCATGCTTTTGTTTATGCTTCACCAAATAGGTCGAACATATGAAACCTTCTTGACAGATGTCACATACATACGGTCTTTCGCCGCTGTGTAAACGAAAATGTATTTTTAAATTCTTATTAGCAGCAAATTTCTTCGGACATAATGTGCATGTGTATAATTTCAATTTCTGATGAACGGCCTGGAGATGAATGTTCAAATTTGTCTTATCGTGAAACGAATAACCACATATTTCGCAAATGAATCTTTTATTTAACCCCATATGTAATCCAATGTGTTTTAATAATGAGTTCTTATGTAGAAACTCCTTTTGACACATATCACAAATGAAAACGGATTTCTTTTGATGCTGCCTGTGTTTGTGGTTCAACATTTTTTGGATTGATATGAAATTTTTCTTACATATCTGACATTCAATGCATTGAGGATCATTCCTTTTTGTTTTTCTTTTATCTTTCTTACGTTCCTTATAAGATATATTTGATTCTGTGAAGTTATCTGAAAACAGAAAATCTATTTTAATATATCACATTGTAAACTTAAAAGATTTCATCGTTGAATTTTTTCCTTCATACATTTAATATAGTCATAACAGACACATGTTTACTAAGTAATATATATAATTAAAAAACCTTTTATTTTTTTATTAACTACGAGTTATTGTATTGTTTTAAGCTACATACTACCAACATTTCGGTTACTTTACAGCAACCGTGATCATGGGCAGACAAAATGAAAATATTATTAGATCTTATATCTTTAAATGAGCAATTTTTGGATATATTTATATATAATTGGAATCTCGGAATCGGCTCCAACGACTTTAATGAAATTTAGTATATAAGGGGAATTATTTTTAGAAAATGTCTTTTTATGAGAAAAAAAGAATAGTCATTTAAAATATGACTTTTCCTGACATCTATTGGCGAATAGTAATACTACTTTTACTAATTGCTTTAAAGACACATCAGCAGATAGCGTTGTTAAGTAATAAGTCAATGAGTGTTTGTACAACAAATATTCATACATACATTAAAAAAACTTCCATAGTATTTAAATAGGTATATAATTTATGTTATGTTAATTTTTACTCACTTCCTAAATCCTCATCTTCCTCACATTTCCCCGGTTCAAGTTTTACCATTTCCGATTCATTCACCTTACAATTGAAGCTGTTCTCTATAAGAAAATACATTAAAATTTTAAACAGTCTACTGTATTAAATATTATAAAATAAATAGACCATATCCAGAATAAAGTGAAGAATATTGTGTTATAAAATAAAGTGTGGAGCTATCTGTGCTTTCTAATTATGTACTACTAGCCTACCGCCTGCAGCTTCGCCCGCGTGTAGTTCGGTTATATCGCTTTTCGAAGAGAACCTTTCAAAAGTCTTTGATAAAAACTATCCTATGTTCTTTCTCAAGATAAACTCTATCTCTGTACCAAATTTCATTAAAATCAGTTCAGTGGTTTAAGCGTGAAAGCGTAACAGACAGACAGACAGACAGAGTTCCCTTCGCATTTATAATATTAGTAGGGATTATAATTTATATTAGTACTGAACCATTGTTATTTTTGTACCCCCTCAATTGTGATTTCAACTGTAGCAAAGTTCTTAGTCTTTAGTCACAAACTAGTTGATTGACAAATCCACTTGGCAAATTCTATGAGAAAATGGCACTAATTAAGAGAGAGAGAGAGAGTATTGTAATTTGTAATCTATAAATACTGGCTTCAGACATTTTGCAACACATAAGTGGAACGCTGAACATTAATAATTAAAACTGAAACTATACCACAAAAAGTTCAAGTAGCTTTTCCACATGCTATTGGAAATCAATCCAGCCATATTAAACATAACATATATCTATCCTTACTTTAACAAAAATATCTTGTTTATAAGTTGTGTCCTAAAAATCCTAATCTACTTACACCGAGTTTGCAGTAAAGATTATTGTAAAGTACCAACATATGAATTTAATATCGGTAATGCTAACAAATTTTAATTTCATACTATCTCATTAAATATACATTGCTTGCAACTTGTAATAACTTAATAAAAAACATATATATGTTATAAAAAACATATAGCTGACCCAGCAGCCTTTGTACTGCCTCAATCAATAAATAAATATTTTTTATTTATATTTTTGGAGTTTACCTATAAGTCATAGATCTCCGTGTTCTGAAGTGCAACAGAATGATTGACATATTAGTTACTCGTCAAATCTAATGTAAAAAAAAACATTTGTATGGGAAATATAAAACCGCTGTTTTTAGGGTTTTCCCAGAAATGATTCAATTTTTTCAGCTTTTAAACCTTCCCTGAACCTCCACGAACATTTCAAGACTAAGATAAGATAAATCCGTTTGACTGAGACTAACGTACAGTGATTCATTTTTATATATATAGATATGTTTTCGTCATAACTTACTTTGACACACTCCAAGCTTTGCTTCACATTGCTCCACTTGTTTTTTGAACTGATTAGCAGCTTCCAGCTGTAATATGCAGGTCTTACATATTGTATACTGTCCGGTCGCAGGAGTATTCTGGAGCTAAAATTACAGAGTCGTAGTATTTATTGTCATATTAAATATTAATTATTTATCGTTATCCGCCTATCAGAGCCCACTGCTGAGCAAAGGCCTCTTCTCACATGGAGAAGGTATTAATTATTTATATGAAACTATATAACTATTATTTATTGACAACAGATAACAAAATTTTGCTATGAATTTCTATATTCACATGAAATGTTGAGTTCTTCTTCTTCCTGGCAATTTTCCCAGCTTTAGCCAGGGTCTGTATCACATGTTGTGAATAGTTTTGGCTTATTGTTTTTATGCCTGACATCAACCCTCTTTGGGAATAAAACATTAAATACAGAGTTATAGTCAGTTATTATTTATGTTCTACATTGATATTAAAATAAAGATTTATGAATGGAAAACTAGAAAAGGTATGTGTTTAGTTCCACAGAACAAACTTGTAGTTAGGTAGCATCATTCAAATTGAAGGAAATTATTAGTAAAAAAAACAAGCAAAAAGGTTAATATGCGAAATATTTGTACCTAGTAATTTCTTATTTTAACATATATTATTTCCTTCTAGCTATAAATTGCATGTCTTCATGAAAAACATAACCACATCTTCACATCGGTTGAATAACAGTCATGCATTATCGAGTCGAAATTTAAAAAAAAACTTTACAGTAAATATAATTAAATTACGTTACATACTAAGTTTAAAAAAAATGCTCTAAATTTTTTACGTACTGTTAAACCGAAGGTCTCGTGTAACATCTCTGAATAAATTTCTATAATTTCATTATTTTCATGTAATCTGTTAAAAGCTTTAAGCATATCTTGAGTATGACAACAGCGACACACAGCCTTTAACTCAGATTTTTCAGACATTTTTACAAATAGAATGTTTAGTTATTTATAAATAAAAATAAATGTTTTTTGTCATCACAAATGTCAGCTTAGTGGTTTTGACAAATGACGGATGAGAGACAGTAATTTCAATTTAATCAATAATTTTTATTACAGAGTCAAAAAAACTTTTATTACTATATAAATAAAACTTGGATATAATATTGTAAAATTTAATTTAGATTATATTCTACAATGTAATACCAAGTTTGAATAAGGATTTATAGTTTGTACGAATGCCGATATTTTATCAAACTCTTAATACTGCTTAATTAAACTACACCACATCTTTTCATAATAGAGAAGTTTCATGTTTTGTGATTATATATTTTTTCGAAACATTAGTCGAAATTATTTAGACAGTTTCAGTAAAAAGCAAGAAACAAAAAATATTTTTTATGTTATTGTTAATTAAAAATTATTCCTTGTATTTTAAGTATATTTTCAAACGTAAGTGACGTCATTATATCATTTGAGGCTGAGAGCCAATCAGAATTGCGCTTTACATTGGGATTTTTTATGTTGTGATTTCCATGTGTCATGTCAAAATAGTCTAACTTAAACTCAAAACATTAACAATTATTGAAAAATACGGAATATCTTATATCTAATTGACTAATTACAATAATTTAATAAGCTTTTAACCAAAATCTAAGTAGGGTTGAGTCATAGATATGTTACTTGAATTAAAAAGTCGAAGAACAACTTATTTTAAATCACATTGCGTTTTTATTGTGCCGGAATTTATTTGTTTTTTTTTTTATAATTTATTAAAAAAAATTATTAATCTAAAAAAAATTAAATATTCTTTTGTATATGTACATATAAATTTGTGGCAATATAAAATTTATGCAACTTCTCTATTAAAATTTCAAAAAAACTTTATCACAGCCAAAATTAATTTAACAACGTTATAAATGGAGTTTTATACTTATATTTTTTTTATTTAAATTAATGTTCTGACGTAATAGTAGGGGAGCCCGAGCGGGGATTTCGGGATTTACTAAAGCTTGGCAGATTAATATACGGGGGGATACCTTGTACCCAGTTAAGTACCTCCTAGGGTTGCCAACCGTACTATAATATACAGGGTGACTGCTGAATTACTATCGATACTTGAGGACGTGATATTTGACGATCATATATGACAAAATAAAAATTAATATAACATAAATATTAATAAACTTCTAAGTAAAGTTAAACAAAAGTTATGTAATTAATTACGCATCGTGTGAACACCCTACAGATTAGGTATACACACACACACACACTCACGCGTGCGGCGGCGTGGTGTTGTATCAACACGCCGCCCCACGCGTCCACACTTGGAACTCTTGGAACGTGTCCACACCTTATTTATTTATACGGAAATTTGGTCAAAAATTAAGTACCTATTTTTTTACATAATTCGAATGAGAATCATGTACCGAGTATTCTCCTTAAATATTGATAGTAATTCACCAGTCACCCTGTATATTATGTAAAAATACTATATTTTAAACACCGACAAATCTAACTACCAAATCCTTAATTAAAAAAAAAATAAGAACGCGTCTTTAAGTACCCGATAGGCGATAACGTCAAACCGTCCGCTTACGTTACGAACTTGTCAATGTGAAATTGACAACATCAATTCTGGTCTGCTTTATTTGTTTATCGGCAGAATTGTTTTCAATTAGATGTTGTTATTTCAGTTGAAAAGTGGAAATCCTAAATAAATTCTAGTGCGCCGCTAACGCCGACTAAAAAACGAAAAATAATAAAAAGACTCAATATAAACAGAAAGAAAGAAACAGAAGTAGTATGTCATGAATAAAAAATATTATATTTCGCTGATGAAATGTTGGCAACCCTAGTATCTCCACAAAACATGAGGCCCATATATTATAAGGCCGCCCGTGAAGGATATAGGATCAGATTAGTAAAAAAAATTGACCATCAGAATTTCTCAAGCGCGTCAGATTAAGGTAGGGTGAGTTAATTACACCCTAAAAAGTGTATATTCCACTAATCTAACAATTTGAGAGTGACGTAAAACAAGGGGAGGGCAACAAAGTTGTAAATAAAACGTCATCTCGACATTCTCGAGCGTAGCTAAATTTTTTTAATTTTGAAGTAAATAATTGAAGAATAATGAAAAATATATAATCTGACGATTTCCACAAGCCGAAATAGCAAAAATTCGTCGTTAAAGTTAAATGCGTGCAGCTGCGCGATGCTTACATTTCCTTCTCCGCGTTTCTATTCCTCTCTCACTCTTTCTCTATCTCTTACTCTCTCACTCCGTTCCCACTCTGGTTTCTGTTGAGATGACGCCAGTCGCCATCACAGCTAATCATAAAGACTTGTTTGTGGCGTATTGTTTACAACATTTTGTTTTTTTTTTCTATTTTAATATTATTTGAGTGAATTAAAGTTTATAAACAGCTAATATGAGTGATATTAATTTGAAATGTGTGTTTTGTGGTGAAATTACGTTACAAAAAACAATTAAATTTAAGGTGGAAACATTAAAAAAATGTGTAAATATTTTGGAATATCGTCGCAACAAGCCGGTTATCCGAAAGTCTCGGGGGACATATGATAACCTCGAATTGTCGATGGAATCGTCATTAAATGATTTATATCACCCACAATGCTATAAATTATTTACTGCAATTAAAATACCGCGAGACTTTCAGTATTTACAAAAACAAAGTGTCAAACATGACAATTCAGAAGTTTCGGGAAATAGCTCCGAAACACATGGTACTGTTGATTCCTTGTCTACTGAGGTCGCTGGTACATCGACAGACGAGTAAGGGATAATATGACTTCATTTATTAAATATTGATAATACTGAAATTGAGAGACATCTGATAATTTTTAGAAGTTTCTTAACTAAAAAATTTTAGGAAAATAATTTTGTTTAAAAGCTTAATTCATAGAAGCTCTGAAAAATTATAAATGAGATTTTTATAAATAATTTTCTATGTCTTGTTTATTTTTAAAGATAAATCAAACAATTGTCAAGTGTTTGTTAACTTCAGTCTAATAAGTATTTATAGAAAATTTTTTTCATTGACAAAAAATTATTTAGTTAAACTTTTATACACAAAAAATGGTGTGTGTACTCATGTACGCGTTAGAAATTGTACTTCTTTGGCACATAATAAAATATTGGCACATACAAAATTATTGATTACATGAATTAAATTCAATATTATTTAAGATTTTTCTAAATCAACAAATTTTGGAGCTGCAAAGTATCAATAGTTTACAATCAATAATTATAAAATATTTTAATTTTTATGAAAATGAAGTTAGCTGACATATAAAAAATTTTAGAATTTTTTTTTCTTAAAAAAATGATTACAAAAAAAATTAAAAATTGTCACTTGTAAAAAAAACTTCAAAAACTGTAAGTGCAATTTTAAAAAAAATATTTTTGTATTATAATTTAATTATTAAAAAGAAAACCAAGAAATAAAAACTTCGGCTAAATTTAGTATCATTAATTATTTATTTAACATATGTTTCTTATAAAATAGTTCATTATTTATTATTTAACCTAGTGATAATATCTTTTTAATTAATATTTATTTTAAAATAATGTTAATTACATGAATGAAAAGACAATTAATATTGTAGTACGAAACTAGATATTGCTTCCAACAGAGTTCCAGAAAATTATTAAAATCTTCTATAACATTAATTTAAAAAAATATGGATATTATTACTATATTCGATAAATAAAATGATTAAGTCTGTATTAAAAAAATTTTTTTTTGATAGTGGTTTTTTGGGAATAACTTTTAACCGGCTTAATCGATCAACTTCAAAAACTAATCCGCGTTTGAGCTTGAAAAACCACATCGACCGCCACCAAGCTGGTCAAAAGCGGTTGATTTGTTCGAGAGATATCGTTAACGAAAGAAACCCGAAAAAGTTTCTTCAGGATTACTCCGAAATTTGTGGTTCAATCAATTAAAATTGCAAAATTACTTATGAGGATGATAAAACTGCGTCGAATGCCGCCAACCGTGTGAAAATCGATTGATCCATTCAAAAGTTATTGCGGTTTGAAATTTCCAAAAATAGTGTTCTACGAAACTTCTATCAGACTTTCGAGCTGGGAGAGCTCAGATGCATAGAAATATTATTTATTTGAACTCAGCGAGCTCAAAATATCACATAAATTATATTTTGAGCTCAAAAAATGTCATAAGTACAATTTTAAGCGCCCAGGAATGGAATTAGCGAGAAGTTGCAGGTATGGCCTTTAAGGTGAACCGTTTTTCTAATTTTTTTGTCAGATTAGGCGAATTCCTCTACATAATCGTCAGATTATGAGACAGTACGTTTAGAACATAAATATTAACCATATATATCTTAATCTGACGCGCTTGAGTATTTCAAAATGGCTATTTTTTGCACAAAATGCGTTCCATCGAAATCGTCAGATTAGTGAATGAGAGCTTTTTTTTGGTGCACTTAACACTCCCTTAGAAAATCTGAAGCGCTCGACAAATTTTTTTTTTCATTTTCAACCCTTAAATACAACCACCCGCATCATGCAAACGATCAGATTAACATACGTACATTATTAAAAATACGTAGGGCATTGACGCTATCAATGTCTGACGCGCTCGAGGATGTCCATGCAACAGTTTTTTTTACATATTTAAAAATCTATAGCCGCTTCCCCCACCGATGTAAAGGTATATATCATACTAGCTTTTGCCGCGACTCCGTCCGCAAGGAGTAGTGACTTCCGACAGATTTTTGGTTCTTCCCACATAGTTCCCGTTCTTGCGGGGTTTTCGGAATGGTCGAGTTCCCGTAGAGTTTTCAGGATAAAACCTATGTTTTTTTAATTCACAATGAAGTACTCTTAACCAACAACATATTTATTTGTTTATTTCAATAAAGATTTTATAAAATTATTTCGACCAAATTAGGTACCATAAAAACGGTTTTTGTGAGTTAATCTTAAAAGATAGACATATACTGTCGCGGACTGTTTTTTAGATAATTAAAAGAGCTATTATTCTTTAATACATATTTTTTGTGTATCTTGGACCGTTTTCACGGCGCACGCAACGGAAGGCTTCAAAGATGAAATAATTTCTCCCGTTTTTAACACATTTACCACTATATCTTTGCTCCTATTGGTCGTAGCGTGATGTTATAAAGCCCACAGCCTTCCTCGATAACTGTACTATCCAACACAAAAAGAATTATTCAATTCGAACCAGTAGTTTCGGAGATTAGCGCTTTCAAACAAACAAACAAACTATTCAGCTTTATAATATTAGTATAGATAACATTTTTTTGCTTCTTACCATCTAAGCTTTGCATCCCAATAGGTCTCTACGACGCTCGAGTAAATCCCCATTTAGCCTCGTGGGCTCCCCTACTATAAAAACTAGAAAAAAATTTCTATAGTGTCGGTCCCGACCCAAGATGGTTCTTTCAATTACCAACAGAAACTTTACCATTTAGAAACAATGGTAGTTTTCCAATTACAGCACCAGGGCGTATTATGCGACATGCTCAACGTTGGATGTTTCAACTACAGCAACGCTTCGCACAATCAAGTATACTTAAAAATACTCAAAATATTTCAAATTTTATATCTGTCATCGTTTATTTCTTTAGTTATTTGCATTGTTTATTGTTGAGAATTTTTCTAAAGCTTTTTTCTTGTCGTAGTTTTTTCGAAATATCTAATTCTTCTGTGAGTGTGTATGCCACTGAACTTCTCTCAAACGATTGGATCGATTTTGATGAATTTTTTTGTGTGTGTTCAAGTCTGGGAATGGTTTAGATTCACAATTTTGTCCGCTGGACAATGTTTTTTTTTAATTAATTTTTAATTTATTAGTAGTTGTTGATACAAACGTTTTTTTGACATAAGATTTGACAAACTAACTTATATGTCAATCATTCTGTCGCACTTCAAAACACGGAGATTTAAGGCTTTAATAGGTCAACTCCAAAAATATAAATAAAAAAACGTAACAGATATTTCTTGATTATAGTACGATACGAAGTTAGTCGGGTCTTCTAGTATATGACACAAACCGTAACGCTTTCGTGATTCGTCACGCTTTCACCAGTTTCAGTAAAATCAGTGTATGTTCAAGAAAATTTCTGACATTGGACAGTAACGTAAACTGTTTACTATTTTGATTTAAAAACTTGAAAGTGTTTCATGAATATTTTCAATATAAAACTCAAAAGTCCAAGAAAATACAAGTTGCAAATAGATCTTGTTTAATTAAACATTATTTTTGTTCAAAGAAGAATGTCGGAGACAGTTTTGTGGAGATTTAAAGAGCTTTGTCGCTGTTGTCATTCAGAAGGGAGTTTTAAATCTCTTAAAGAATCGTACAGGTTCAGAGGAAAGATAGAAATGTACAGCGACATGCTGACTGAGACATTTGGATTAAAAGTAAGTTGGTGGAAATTAAAATGTATAAAAATATTATAAACTTAAATAAAAAAGACGCTATTCTCTAAAGAATTTTCAGCTTAATTCAGTTAAAACTTTGTGGCGATATATAAGACTTAATTCTATCAAAACAGATATTATTTTTCCAAGTGTGTTTTACTGTTCAAAGTTCTTATAAAATTTATTAATGTTATTTTATATATATATTTTTTTAAATAGTTAAAGGAACTTAAAAGAATAATTGTCTTTAAAAATATTCTAAATTACTCAACTAAACCTGTAAATATGATTGTTCTTTGTGTTATAATTTCCAGTTAAATCCAGAAACACTTGAAGTTGGCTGTAATATTTGTGATGATTGTTTTGTGAGGCTCCGAGACTCAACCAGATTTAAGAATCAAGTAGAAGCTTGTGAAGAAAAGTTCAACCAGATTTATGGTAAATTTGTTATTAGTCAATTCATTAAGAAAAATTCTTACCAGAGGCAATTTGACAGTTTTTTATTAGATTATATTTTGAGAATATTTAAGTTGTTTCTTCATATTGTAATATTCATTAATTATTTTGTATTTATTACATTTTTCTATAACTGTAATCTATCTTGCTTTAGAAGTAATACTTTTGAAATAAATCCAAAACTGAGAATTACACATGAGAAAAGGAAATATTATTAAAAAGTAAAATTTTTATAGTACAGGATATAAAAAAATATAACTTAGTTATATATGTTTAATATGTGTATGTTATAGAATATAGTACCCACAGAACTCAAGTAATAAATGAATCACTCACACATACACACAACACACTCACACATACAAACACACTCATACTGTACATTCATATAATATAATATTACTAATAAACTAATCACATAGTGAGGATGTGTAGCAGTTTTAACTAAACACCACTGAAATAGATAAGCCTATAATAATAAACAATTATAATCTTGCCGTCTGTAACTTATACACAATTATAACTATCTATAAAACTTGTCAAGTACATAAATATTAATTTTATTTACAGAACAGTATTATAAAAATATTAAAATCAAAACAGAAAATGATTCAGAGTTAATAAACAATGAAACAAATGGTATATTATGTGGGAGAGACTCTGATCATCATGTTGAAGTTAAAAATGAAGTTGAAGCAGCAAATGAAGTGAAGTTATCAAGTGATGTTAGAATAAAACATGAATTTGTTAATGAAAATAGCAATGATGGTATCGATATAGTAAAAAACGAAATTATATATACTATTGATGAGGAAAATATGTGGAATATGGAAAATGGTGATGATATTCAAAAAGATAAAGGTTAGAACACATTAGTAATTATATATATTAAGTTTTAATTTAACATCTTGTTGAAAACATTTGCAAATATTTGTTTTCTTATTTGTAATTATTAGAAATATTTTTTTTTTTTTAAATTAAATGATTTATCTTTTACAATAATGAGATCTGAGATTTTCGCTAATCTTATTCATTGAAATGAAACTAATATTTTTCGCATTTACTACCCCACTTTATTATGTAGTATGTAGTTTTTATGAAAAATAAAATCGCGTAGAACATCCGAAAAATATTAGTTTCATTTCAATTATCATTTTAAAGTACATATTTTTTAAGTTTTCGAATGAATAATAATTATGGCAGGTAGAGAACCAGATTCAAATAACGAAAGCAATGCTCAAGGACCATCAAGTAAAAAAAGATTATGTTCAGACATAGTGCATAAAGAGTATTTAACAACATATTCAAGCCAGGCCCAATCAATTGACAATAAATGTCGAAGGTGAGTTATCTCATATTACTTACTAGGAATGATAAAATAGATTCCGATTCTACCTTAGAATCGATTATGTGCTCAAAAAACTCCATTCCCAGTTATCAGAATCGACCTACAATCGATTCTTGATGATCGATTCTATAATTTGCATATAATTGTACTTTTAACCTTATTGAACTAGTTTTATTTCTTAAAATTAAATAATCTATAATTTTTATTTAAAAAACAATATTATTCATAATTAATATTTAAATGAATCGATTCTTGAAATTGATTTTTCGATTCTGAATCATCGTAGTTTCATACATACATACATACATCGTTTCTTTTCCCTTGTCTATATTTTTTCCCTCTTTTAATAAACATCATTACTCTCGACATTGGTGATTCTCTGTCCTCTTCTTATTACTCTACTATATTTCCTTCGTTTTTGGAGTTTACTTCAGATTTTTTTAACAGTATTTTCAAGCAATACGTAAATATTAATATAATTATTAATTATTTGTAGAGGTTTCATTTATTAAATTTACCAAACTATTCATGAAATTATAGATTAAAGAACCCACCAAGAACTGCTGCAGAACGTGCTCGAGAATTCAGAGCTAGGAAAGCACTGATTAAACAACAAAATAAGCAACAAGATGACAAACAAGTGACTAGACGATCTCAAATTAGTATAACTGAAAAAAGAGCAAACTCTGCGGAAGCAACAAGGCGTTGGAGGGAGAAGAAAAGAGGCTTTAGAACAAAAAAACAGGCAAAAACCGCTGCTGAACGAATGAAAGAATACCGTGAGAAAAAGAAACTGTAAATCCCTACTAATATTATAAATGCGAAAGTAACTCTGTCTGTCTGTCTGCCTGTTACTCTTTCACGCCTAAACCACTGAACTGATTTTTATGAAATTTGGTACAGACAGAGTTGACCTTGAGAAAGAACATAGGATAGTTTTTATCCCAGACTTTTGAAAGGTTCTCTTGGAATGATATAACCGAACTCCACGCGGGCGAAGCTGCGGGCGGAAAGCTAGTATTAATATATTTTTATATATAAAACTTAAGCTATTGAAGGTAAAATTGTTAACTCTATTTTCTTACTTAGGGCAAAGAAAATGTTGAAGCAAAGTGATCAAGATTTTAATGATATAATCGGTACATCACAAGTAAATGAAAGAGTTGGTCCATCAATAAACATGTGTATATCAGACCTAAATGATTCGAGTCGCGTTCGAGCCGCCGTAGGGATCGGACGTCTTGGTGTGATATAGTAATTTGGGTATGCCGTATCGAGAGCCGCTTGCTAAATTATTATATTAATTCACTAACCTAACCTAAGCTAACATAAGTTAACCTAACCTAACCTAACCTAACCTAAGCTGGTTTTGTGTTCTGGTTGGGAGATAGGGAATGGGAGATAGGGAATATGATGGGGGGGGGCCTGCCCCGGGGGGGGAAACGGGCAATTTCTTAGAGGGGTTTTCGGGTGTGGACGACTCGATGTCGTCTCGTCCGGAGTCGGCGTTAGGGGCCAAACGTCTCTTTTCGGAGATGTCTGGCTCCGATACCGAGACTGGGGTCGGGATGTCTCGAGGGTTGGAGCTGGTAGGGAGGCGAGGCCGAGGTAGACACCTGGCTAGAGCCAGGAAGTTCTTGCGCCAGCGGGAGGAGGAGGATTCGGAGGCTGCCTTCGACTCCTGTATGGAGAAGAAGTTGGCGAAAGAAAAGGGGAAAGGGAAAGGAAAGGAAAAGGAGGTCCCTCCGGAACTGGAGACGATGAGGGCGGAGGCAATCGTGGTTGAGGCGGAGAAAAGCCTCAACCTGATTAAGGATTTGGTGGGGAAGAGTACCAACCTTAAAGGGGGGTACTCTTCCAAAATTATGAAGGCCTCCGCCTTCTTGAAGGAGGTGCTCGACGTCCTGGTGACGCGCACCGAGGCAGAGGAGACCCACCGCCTTAGAGCCGACATCGGTCGGCTCCAAAGGGAAAATGCGAGTCTCAAGGAGGAGGTGCGCGCTCATCGCCTCCAATTTGAGGAGATGAGAAAAGAGAGGGTTGCGGCAGCCAAGGAGGCTTCGGAGGGCCCAGTCAGCCAGGACCAACTCCAAACGCTGGAGTCGAACATTGCCAGGTTGGTTGGCAACCTGGTCGATGGTCGACTTGCCGCGATGGAGTCCCGGCTACGAGGAGAAGAAGTCTCCCGCCCCCCCCTGGCGGGGGACAATTCGGCCGTCGCCGTGGCAGCCAGGAGGGCGATTCGCCAAGCGGCCCTGCAAAGGGGGGCCAAGAAACCGGCCCCTTTGCCGGCTTCGGAAACTCCGGCACCGGCTATATCGGAGGCCGAATTCCCTTCCCTCCCTGCGCCTTCCCACGGGAAAGGTAAGAAGTCCAAGGGAGGAAAGGAGGTAGTATGGACCGCGTTCGGTCCATCCACATCCAGTGGAAGGGCCGAACCAACTGTAACGGGGGTTGGGGCCAATACGACGGGATGGACGGAGGTAGTCAGCCGCAAGGCCCCCAAGAAGAAGAAGGTGGCGCCAGTGCCCAATAATCCGGCGCCGCAGCAAAAGAAGGTGGGCCCTAAAGAGGGCCCCAAAAAAGTGATGCTCCCGCGCTCACAGGCCGTAATTATCAAGTTACGGCCTGATGCAGCGGCCAAGGGGGCATCGTACTTGTCAGTTCTCCTGAAGGCTGAGAGGGAGATTAATACCAAGGAGCTGGGCATAGGGCCCCTGAAGATCCGTTCATCGGCAACAGGGGCTCGCATCATCGAGGTGCCCGGCTCCACCAGTGCGGACAAAGCCGATGCTTTAGCCGAGAAGCTGAAGTCCGCACTAGCGGAGGAGGTGGAGGTGTCGAGGCCTGTGAAATTCACAGACCTGAGGGTCACGGGTCTCAACGACGCGACGACCGCGGACCGGCTGATAGCTGCGGTAGCGCAGGAGGGGGGCTGCACCGAAGCTCAGGTAAAGGTGCGCAATGTGCGACCTGGGCTTCGCGGCACAGGCTCCGCCCTGTTGGAGATGCCAGCTGCGGCGGCAAAAAAATTGCTGCAGCTGGGTAGCCTAACGGTGGGGTGGAGCCAAGTGCGGCTCTCATATATGGAGGCACGACCCAAGCACTGCTTCAAGTGTTTGGGAATGGGGCACGTAGCGGCCGCGTGCCCCAGTCCAAAAGACCGCAGCGGCTTGTGCTACCGCTGCGGCAAGGAGGGCCACAAGTCCGCCCAGTGCACCGCGTCACCGCACTGCGCTGTGTGTGCGGACGCGAGTAAGCCGGCGGACCATGTGATGGGGGGCCATTCGTGCCGTCCTCCATCCACCCGTGGGAAACTCCCCGACCAGCCTAAAAGGGCGGGAGTTTCGAGGCAGCCGTCAGGAGCTGAGATGTCCGAATAATGGCCGGACATCTCAAGTTCCTGCAGGCCAACGGCAACCACTGCGCCGGGGCTCAGGATCTCTTCCTGCAGTCCATGGCGGAGTGGGCCGTAGACGTGGCGGTCATAGCTGAGCCGTACTGTGTCCCTGCCCAACCTCATTGGGCGGGAGACGCGGACGGCTTGGTTGCGATCGTCACGCGGCCGGGAGCCGGGCCCCCCCTCGCCGTCAAAGCGAGGGGCCACGGGTATGTGGCGGCGGTTTGGGGGGAGATTGCCATCGTCGGGGTATATTTCTCCCCGAACCGCGACCTGCCGGCCTTCGAGAGATTTCTCGACTCTCTCGGGCCGGTGGTAGGGCAGTTAGCGCCTCTCCAGGTGTTTGTGCTGGGGGACCTCAACGCCAAGTCCACGGCGTGGGGAAACCCCCGCACAACACCGAAAGGGAGGGAGCTGGAGGCATGGGCGCTGACTGCCGGACTGTCCCTTCTCAACACGGGGACGGTCCAGACGTGCGTGCGAAGGTCGGGAGGTTCAGTGGTGGACGTCTCGTTCGCCACTCCGACCATCGCACGCAGAGTGGAGGGATGGAGGGTTGAGGCAGGAGTGGAGACGCTTTCGGACCACCGTTACATACGGTTCGAAGTGTCTCCTACTCCTGCCGGTCGCCGGAGTCCAGTGTCGAATTCCTCGTCGCCTCGGGAGAGAAGTCGGTTCCCGCGTTGGGCGCTGTCAAAGCTCAATCGGGAACTGGCTGAAGAAGCGGCCGTCATCGGTCGCTGGAGTCTCCCGGAGGGTGCGGAGTCAGGGGTGGATGAAGGGGCTAGCCGCTTTGGGGACGTTCTTCAAAACGTCTGCCGAGCGGCGATGCCCCCCGTAGGACGTCCCCCTCCGCGGGGAGCGGTATACTGGTGGTCTGAGAATATCTCAGACCTCCGGGTCGCCTGCAACGGGGCCAGGAGGGCATACACCCGGAGTAGGCGACGCCGCCCCCAGGACGAGGAGCGAGATGGTCGGCTGTACGGGATCTATGTGGAGAAGAAGTTGATCCTGCAGCAGGCCATCCGCCGGGCCAAGGAGGCAGCCTGGCTGGAGCTGGTGGAGGGTCTCGATCGAGACCCTTGGGGCCGACCGTACAAGCGGGCGCGGAACAAACTCTGCGCCCAGTCGGCCCCCATCACGGAGGTGCTCCAGCCGGCTGTTCTGAGGGGGATCGTCGGGGAACTCTTCCCCGACGCTCCAGCGGGATTTACTCCCCCCAGAATGGCCCGGCCGACGCTGGATGAGGGCGACCGCGTTCCGCCCACCGTCACGGAGTCTGAAATGGAGGCGATTCTGGCTCGCCTCCAGAGTAAGAAGAGCGCACCGGGTCCGGACGGGGTGCACGGGAGAGTTCTCGCTCTCTCCCTGGTGCACCTCGGTGGAGCCCTCAAGGAGCTGTTCGACCTCTGTCTGAGGTCCGGGCAGTTCCCGAGGGCCTGGAAGGAAGGCCGGCTTTGCCTTCTTCCAAAAGGCAACCGGCCTCCGGACTCGGCTTCGGCGTGGCGACCGGTGGTTGTGCTGAACGAGGCGGGGAAGGCCCTGGAGAAAATAATGGCCACCCGTCTCGTTCGGCATCTAGAGGAAGGCTCGGGCCCGGGACTGTCAGAGTTCCAGTTCGGGTTCCGAGCCCATCGGTCGACCGTCGATGCTCTCAAACGCCTGAGGGCGGTGACGGAAGAGGCGGAACGCAGAGGAGAGGTAGTGGTTGCGGTGTCGTTGGACATCGCAAACGCGTTTAACAGCCTCCCACACAGCGCGATACAGGTGGCACTCGAGTATTTCGGAGTGCCCCTGTATCTGAGGAGGCTGATAAACAGCTACCTCTCCCAGAGGAGGGTGGCAGTCGAGAGCCGGAGGGGGTCCATAGAGTGGTGGACAGTCGAAAACGGCGTGCCACAGGGGTCGGTCCTGGGACCGGTCCTGTGGAACGTCGGATACGACTGGGTCCTGCGGAGTCGTCTCCTCCCCGGGATGGGTGTCATCTGCTACGCCGATGACACCCTCGTCTTATCCCGGGGACGAAACTACAGGGAGGCGGCGCGGCTGGCCGAGGTCGGAACTGACCTCGTGATCAGCCGCATAGAGAGGTTGGGGCTTCGGGTGAGAATAGACAAGACCGAAGCCCTCCTCTTCCGCGGGACTGGGCGGAAAGGACCCCCGCCGGGTGCCACCCTCCTCATTGGAGGAGGGAGGGTCAGGGTGAGTCCCACCATGAAATATCTGGGGCTCACTCTTGACGGAGGGTGGACCTTCGTGCCTCATTTCAAGGAACTGGGGCCGAAGGTCGTGAGGACGGCAGGTGCGTTGGGAAAATTCCTCCCGAACCTCGGAGGACCCAGCGCAGCTTGCAGGCGGCTATACTCTGGGGTCTGTCGGAGTATAGCCCTGTACGGTGC